GACGATTTTCGCCACCTGCACACACCTTTCCGGTATGTCTTCTACCCATGTTTGAAATTGTTCTGCCTTTCTTTCTGCCTCTGCTTTGCAGTCCTTAGTAAATTTTCTGCAAATTGATTCCAATTTACAAAGATATAAAGGTCAATCATAAATAGGTAGCAGTGATAAAGTAGAGGGTGGTGCAATCTTTTGAAAGTGTGGGACTAACTGGTGAAAACCAGGGCAGTGAATATTCTTCTTTGAGATATAGCCCCACTATACGTATATAGAACTGGGTAAGAAAGACTGGCTTTTGTGGTGATCTCAGGCACCGTGCTCAATGTGGTGAGCACGGTTTGTTTGTACCAGACTGGCTTTCTGCCTCTACTTTGCAGTCCTTAGTAAATTTTAGTACTTTGTCTTCTACCCATGTCTGAGGTACTTTGTAGTTTGTTTGTTGAGTAGAATACCCAATATAAATGCTTGTTATTTACCATAGTAAAATTTTACAGCTTTGGATATGGTTATACGTTGACAAAAAAGCCTCAAAAGCTCCTAAAATCATCTATAACAATTTCAGAGGGGAAATAAATTGTGCTCTGTATGTATGAGAACCTATTTAATTTTGCTCTTACTGTATCGTCGCGCGATACGCGAGTTGCAAATGCCCAATACTTTGTTACTGTGTATAATTGATTGAAATTGGGTTAATAATTAGTCCATATTCAGGGATGCTAAGAAATGAGATACGAGTTCACACCTTTTAAGTAGTCATTAGTTTTTTGATAGTGTGAAGTTAGCATTTGCAAAAATGATGCAGGGGGGATCATTTTGCATGTTTTACTTCTACATTTGAGTAAATGACACACAGCTATTGGGCCCTTGAAAGAATGTCAATAACATATACGTGATTGAATTTGTAATCTCTCTATTTGTCTTTTGCCTAAAAAATTACCCAATAGAGTTTCTTTAATACTCGGGTATATGTTTCCAGGGTTTGTAGTAGAATCTGCTTAATGACCTCGTGAAACGGTGAAAAGAACCAATATAAAGAATTACACAATTGTTCCTCAAACAATCTGCCGTTTTCCAGCTGCCCAAATGAAATCACTGGCTCATGTTTGGTGAATCATTCTTGAACAAGATAATTCACGTAAATCTTTAACTGAAAAGTCAAATCCATTCACATGTTTGTTAATGAGTGTATAAAAGGGTTTTGGATGTTAGAGTGCAGGTATGAAGAGTTTGACATTTAAACAGAGTTAAATTAAAACTTAAACATAAAATATTTGTAAAACCAGAGTTTTTCCTACGTCTGTTGACGATTAGTATGGCTGTTAGAGTAAAAGTTAGTCCATATTATATTTTTTAGATCACAAATAGAGAATTAAAAGATGTCATCTATCTGATGATGGTTTGTGGATTAGATGATGGTGAATAAAGAACAATTAGGCATCACCTTGATGCTCTTGATGTTGATATTTTGGAGGGAAAACATCACAATAAACTCAAACTCAAATAGGAAAAAGATCAGGCAAGAAGAGTTGTACTAACAAGACAATAACAAAAGAAACAGCCATGGATCGGTAATTGATGAAGATGGACATATAGGGGGGTTTCATCTACTGTGGTGCATTGAGCATGGTCCTATGATGTTTCTGTGTTTGGTTTTTTATTGACTTAAAATATGCATATGTTTGATTAGTTATATTTAGCAGTTAAATTATTGAAAGTATTATTTGTTGGTATATTTGGAGGCTTAGGCCTCATTGCATGTCAAGTCCTACGCCTTCCTCACCAAAAACAAACTACTTAATACCTGAACTAGCCTTTTAAGGTTTTTTTTTTTTACTTATTTACTGAATATAGAAATGACATGGCGGAAAAGGAAGTTACTGGACATGGATTTCTGCCTATGTTGTACTCACTTTCTTTCTATCTTTTTTGTGCAGATCTTATGCAATTTGTGTTATTACAAGTTTATTTGAGCTTGAGTGGTTGATTGCCTGGTTAGGTATGCTCCTTTATTTCAATTTACCTTTATTTCATGTATTAAGTTTTGATTTGATAAGAACAGTTTGTATGTTTGGTACTCAAGAAATATATCAATCACTAAAATAATTGCTCTCTTTCACACTGTGATATTATCATTCTACCCTTGCAGTAATTATTTAACGGTGGAATGAAATCATTATTTAGCACAGAGGTGATGGTAGCTTGAGCATAGACAGATAAAATCAAAATCATTTAGCATATTTTCTGCCATTATTTCCAGGCCCTTAAAACTTCATACTTGTGGTGGATAATGAAAAACATTTTGTCTTTGGGTTGTGGTGATGATTAAATAATCTTAAAGAAAACGATATCAGAAAAGGCATATCTTTAAGAAAAGAGACCAATTTTTAAAAAAATGCATGTCTTGTATAGCTTTTGAGCAGAAAAAAATATATAATACCCTGTAGCCTTTTCAGCTCACTCAAACTCATGTTTTTGTTTTCAAAGCTAAGCTCAACTTTTTTGTCAATGGCGTTATGGTGTGACTACTTAATTTATATTCAAGAGTATGAACCATCAGCTAGATCATGCTCCTAGATGGCATATCAAAAGCAAGAACTTTGAGAGGGCCCTTACTGCTGGTGGTTAGCATGTCACTGAAAGTGGCAGGATATGGAAATTTTATAGGGAGTCTGAACAAGCCGTTCTTTTCACAATTGATGAAACTAACCCCGGCATATGTACTTCTTTTTGTCTCAATTTGTTTTTCATCTTCACGTCTATTTATTGCACAATTCTGATTATTTTATGTCACACCTTTATTGTTTCTTTATTTCGGAGTATCATTTATAAAAAGCTTAGGAGTTATTGCTCAAATACATGGTTTTTTGTGGGAATGAAGAAATGAAACTAAAATACTTTTTTCTTTTGATTTTAAAACACGGTCGTCTATTATGAGAAGAGTTTAAACTAAATGTGTATAAATACACATTGTAGCAGTTTTCAAATTAGAACCTTAAACAAAAGCACCTAAAAAGAGACATTTTTTCATCATTTGGTAAGGAGAAACAGATGGGCTTATGACTAATGAAAAGAATATGAAAATACAAGATTTAGAGTACAAGACATTGTAGTTCTTAATATTTATTTGTATTCTTATTTTGATGTTCTGTAAAAATAGGAATACTATATTTAATATTTTATTTGTGCTCCACTGCTCATGTGTCGTTAATTATTAGTGAATAACTTGAGTGATAGGTGGGTTATTGAGAAGACCTGCAGGGCCAATGGTTTGAACAACTATTTTTATGTTTCTGGCTGGGTGTAGGCGGACACTGCTTGTTCAGAGGGCGGGAAGGGCCAGATGAAGAAGATGAATGGAGGTATTTTCATGACTATGGTCTATGGTGCATTATTGAGTGCTGTTTATCAGAAAGCTTCCACGTACACGGCAGATTATGGGTATGGGATAAAGGAATTTAGAGTAGTAATAGGTTGAGACTGAAAAGCATAATTCATTCCAGAAAATGATATCCTATTTATACAACAGTCTAGAGACTAATAAGGCAGGCTACTAATTATAACATTAAATACAAAGATTTGTAACTGATTTATAATACTAAATACAAATAATTCTAATTTATTTTGTAGCTAATGTAACGGTTCTCTGGAGCTGTCTGGACTCTTCTATATGCCCCCGCAAGCCAGGTATTCTATCAATGCTGAGAATCCTGAGCTTGTCACGTAGAAAAACAAACCGTTGTCGTGAAAGGGGTTTAGTGAGAATGTCAGCTAGTTGATCATGCGAGTGGATATGAAGAACTCGAAGAAGACCACGTTGCACACGTTGACGGACAAAATGAAAATCAATGGCAACATGCTTCATGCGGGAATGAAATACAGGATTGGCAGAGGAGTTTGTAGCGCCTTTATTATCACATAGAAGAACCGGAGGGGAAGTAGGTGAATGTCGGAGCTCGTGAAGAAGTGACTCAATCCAGAGGGTCTCGGAGGCAGCAGTGGAAAGGGCCCGATACTCTGCTTCGGTAGAGGATTTGGCAATCGTTCATTGCTTAGATGATTTCCAAGAAATAAGTGATTCTCCAAGAAAAATGGCATAGGCGCCGGTAGAGGAGCGGTCATCTGGATTCCCTGCCCAATCTGCATCAGCATAAGCACATAAGGAAAGGGAAGAACTTCGTCGGAGATATAAACCATAAGAGGCAGTCCCTTGAAGATAACGCAAGAGGCGTTTCATGAGTTGCCAATGATTCATCGTGGGTTTGTGCATAAACTGAGCTAGCTTGTTGATGGCAAAGGCAGTGTCAGGTCGGGTGAGGCTTAAATACTGAAGGGACCCAATGACTTGTCGATAGAGAGTTGCATCACAAGAGCCAGAACTATCAAACAGAGTCAAGGAAGCTGAAGAAGCCAAAGGTGTGGATACTGGATTAGCCTCATGCATATTCAACACCTGTAATAAATCTGTAATGTATTTGTGTTGATCAAGAAAAAGGTCATCTTGTGTAGGGGTAACCTGGATGCCCAAGAAATAATGTAAGGATCCTAAATCCTTAATGGAGAATTTATGTGCCAATAAGTCAATAGTCCGATGAATTAAAGCAGGTGTAGAGCCAGTGATAATAATATCATCCACATATACTAGCACATAGATATAAGATGGATGAGAAGAAAATATGAATAGACTGGCATCGGAAACAGATTGATGAAAACCAAGGGATAAAAGAAACCCACTGAGAGACTGATACCACACTCGAGGAGCTTGTTTAAGCCCGTAGATAGATTTCTTAAGACGACATATTCTCCCAGATCCATCATTGAAACCAGGAGGTTGTTTCATGTAAACTTCCTCTTGGAGAGTCCCATGTAGAAATGCATTATTGACATCAAGTTGATTGATTTGCCAGCCATGAGAAAGAGCAATAGTTAGAACAACCCGAATAGTAACTGGTTTGATAACTGGGCTAAAGGTCTCAGAGTAATCAATCCCTAGGCGTTGATGAAAGCCCTTAGCCACCAGTCGAGCTTTGAAACGATCCAAGGATCCATCGGACTTATATTTCACGGTATAGACCCATTTGCAACCAACAACATTTTGGCCAGGTTGAGCAGGTACAAGTTCCCAAGTCCCTTGTTTCACCAAGGCGTCAAATTCCACAGACATAGCCTCCTTCCATTCAGGTACCTGTAAAGCTTGAGAAACACAAGTAGGAATAATATGATGAGGTAACGATGAGTGGGTAACAACATTAGCTTGCTTACGAGGACGAAGGGTCATTGGGTGGATGCGTTTGGGTGGAGAAGAGTGTGGATCATGATGGTGATCCAAGGTCGGTGTGGAAGTATTGGGAGTGGGAATATCTATTGAGGTTGAGGTGGCGGTGTTGGGCGTAATGGGTAAGGATGGGGTAGTTAGTTTTTGTTTGGGCCGGCGGTGGTAAGTGACAAGAACCGGTGGGTGAGAGGCAATGGGATTGGTAGGAGGTGGAAGTGAGGTAGGGTTAGATATATTAGGGGAGTCTTGTTGCGCCGAGGTATGAGTAACAGGAGACGTCTTAGCTAATGATGCACCTGAAATAGGGAGATAAGAAATAGGTGGTTGGAGCCAATTATCAATTTCAGAGGACAGATTTGTAACAGTTGTTAGATTGTTAGAAAAGGGAAAGACAGACTCATTGAACACCACATGCCGACTAATAAAGATCTTATTGGAAGTAGGATCAAGGCAGCGATAAGCACTTTGCTGTTCGCAATAGCCAAGGAAAATACAAGGTCGGGACCGTGGTTCTAACTTATGGGTCATGTAGGGACGGAGCCAAGGAAAACATTGACACCCGAAAATAGCAAGTTTTGTGTAGTTGGGAGGTTTTTGAAAAAGTTTTTCATAGGGTGTACAAAAATCTAGAGAAGTGTTTGGTTGCCTATTGATTAGATAAACAGCAGTTAAAAAGGCGTGTGACCAATATTTGAGTGGCATAGAGGCATGGTGAAGTAAAGTAATCCCTGTTTCTACAATATGCCTATGTCGGCGTTCAGCAAAGCCGTTATGTTCAGGGGTATATGGAGGAGTAATTAAGTGAGAAATGCCACAAGACGCCAGGAATTTCCCTAGTGAAATATATTCTCCTCCTCCATCGGAGTAAACCGTTTTAATGGATTTTTGAAAAAAGTTTTCTACAATTTTTTTAAATTGTTGAAAAATTGGGGTTACTTCGGATTTGTGGGTGAGAGTGTAAAACCAAATGTATTTTGTGTAGTGGTCAACAAAAATAACATAGTAACGAAAACCATCTACAGAACTAATACGAGAAGGACCCCAAACATCGGTATAAATTAAGTCAAGAGGACCAGAACTAGAAAGAGAAGATTTAGCAAAAGGTAATCGGTGGCTTTTATTACTCGCACACGAAGTGCAAAGAGATAGATCCTTACTAACATCTTTAAAATCAATACCTAATGAGGAAATAATTTTTTGAGTGATGGGAAGGGCAGGATGTCCTAAACGACAATGCCATTTATTTAGAGAAAATTTTGTAGTAATGTTTACACTAGGAGAAGCAGGAACTGGAACATCAGGCAAGCTGTAGACGTCACCGTTATTCATACCCCGTAACAAAATTGCTCCTGTTTTCCGGTCCTTAACAAGACAAAAAGAAGGGTGAAATTCAATTAGTACATCATTATCACGACATAATTTAGCAACAGAAATTAAGTTAGTATGAATAGCAGGGACAAAAAGAGTATTAGGTAAGGAAAGAGAATGAACAGTCATATTTCCAACTTGTGCAATCTCAAGACTTTTACCGTTACCAATAATTAGGGAGTCTGTGCCGGTATAATCGGACGCCAAGGTGAGGTTATTTAAATTATTTGTCACATGATTAGTTGCCCCCGAGTCGAGTAACCATCCATTCTTCCTGGTTGTAACAGTATTGGCTTGGGGAGGGTAACTTTGTTGTTCAAACCTGTGCCAACAATTAATAGCCAGATGGTTCGGTTTGCCACAGATTTGGCATATAATCACCGAACTTGACCTGTTATTAAATCCAGAATTGGTACGCCCGCCCATGTGATTATTGATGCCCCCGGGATTACTGTTTCCACGACGATTGGAATTGTAGAAATTATTTGGTCGTGGACCTCTATTCTGATTTCTGCCAAAATTTTGAGTCTGAGTATTGGGCCTGTTGGGCAGATTCTGAACTTGGGTCAATGGACCAGGGCCTAAAATAGAGGCACGCTGATCTGAACTCCTGCGAACCATCATCGCTGCGGAATCGCTGCCTTCGTTCTTCTCTTCGACAGTAGCTGCGTTTGCGGTTACTACGGTGGTGGGATTCAGGATCTCTTTCCTGCGCATCTTGTCTTCGAATCCGACAAGTAGTGAGTGCAGATCTTCAAATGTAACCTCATCCGGACGAATGGAATTCTCCATAGCTTCAAATTCAGGACGAAGACCTTCCAAGGCTTGAATGGCAAAGTCCTCGTCGTCAACTGGTCGTCCAGCCTTGGCCAGTTCATTCGTGAGGGTGCGAAGGTGGTGAAGATATTCTGCTACAGGTTGCGAGCCTTGTTTAGCATGGCGGAACTGGTCTTTCAGGCTTCGAATTTTGGAAGCTGACCGGGTCCCATACAGGCGCTCCAGTGTCTTCCAGACGGAGGCGGAGGTCGTTGCTGACCCAATCAGCGGTTTGCAAGCGGAACTGAGAGAATAGACAAGGGCGTGCCGCACCAGACGGTCCTGTCTCTTCCATCGGAGATGGTTGGTAGCTTCACTTTCTGGAGGAGGACTGACTTTTTCATCAATATACTGGTCCAGATGAGAACCAAACAGAAGGTCCATTACTTGGTCTCTCCACACAAGGTAATTTGATCCATCTAGTTTTTCTGGGAATTGGCTAGGGCTGAGCATAATCAGGCCATCTGGGGTTAGGGGAGTGTTGGCTGAGTGAGATGAGGTTGAGTTATCATGAACGTCTTCTGGACTTTTGTCTCCATTAGCCATGGGCAGAGGAAGGTGATAGAGGAAGGTGATGCTGGTTGAACAGATCGGTGAAGAGAATAGGCCGATTAGGCCTCTAGAGGCTCTGATACCATAAAGGAATTTAGAGTAGGAATAGGTTGAGACTGAAAAGCATAATTCATTCCAGAAAATGATATCCTATTTATACAACAGTCTAGAGACTAATAAGGCAGGCTACTAATAACTAATTATAACATTAAATACAAAGATTTGTAACTTATTTATAATACTAAATACAAATAATTCTAATTTATTTTGTAGCTAATGTAACGGTTCTCTGGAGCTGTCTGGACTCTTCTATACGGGATACCCGCCACTGCCATATAAGGTTAGGCATTGGCTGTAATTCATTAGTATGCATATTTAGCTACTATTCTGATATGATTCAAATGCTATTTTTGGTAGATGATGATTTGATTGATTCAAGAGCATATGTAGACTATATTGATAAGAAAATTCATATTTTCGTGAATAAGCCTAACTAAGATATCATATGAGATTTGAGTACTGCCAGTATTAACTAAATTTAATTTGTAAGGCATACTTAAATTTCTTTTATACGTACTAGGTGTTTGTAAATATGCCTAAATGATATTTTTAGGTAGATGACACATTTAGCTGCTGAAATTTCAATCCTTGAAAGTGTAGTTGTATGTTTACCAAAATTAGACTGCAATACAAAAATTAACTAATTTTATATGTAGAATTACTAGAATATTAGGTTTTTTCAGATCTTTCGGCTTTCTTTACATTTTTTGCATGTCCAGTTGTGCAATTTTTTTTCTGCATTTCATATAGATGTTTAAGAAGAAAGTTGTTTTCAATGTGAGTGTGTATCAGTGTAAGTATATTTGGTGCGAGTAAGTGAGTGCGCATGTTTTTATTTTAATTATTAGATGCTCCGTATTAATGAGTTAGCGCTAAATTATTTTGATGTTGTGGGCTTAACCCAGAGCCCAAAAATTATTATTATGATTTGATCTCGTAGTCAGTAAGCTCATTGGTTAGTATTCATATTTTGAGACATAATTGAATACATGACTTGTTCTCTCAGTCAAATGCCAACTTGTTTGCTTAGCTCTAATTTGTGACTCCTGATTCAGATGTTTATCCAATCCCTTTTCTTCAAGAAACCATGATGACTTGTTTAGATGTGTGTTAATAAGTGAGATCACTCACAGGCAAGATAATTTAAAAATAACCTTAAATTGGCTACTTTACTCAGTCCTTTTTCAACACACCAAGTCAACAACCTCTTACACAAAGACCACTTAATATAAACAGGGATTAATGGAAAATTAAGTAAACAGTCCAGGTCCATCTTAAATGGCAGCCATGTCTGAATGACATGATTGTACCTTGCTAACAAGACCTTACTTTGTACTTTTTTGTAGATAGGGTAGATGTCTCTTGATCAGGATTCAAGAGACCATACTTCCTCAAATGGGTTGGTTGAGAATAATATTTGCAAGCAACAGACACAAAACTTGACAAGCTCAAAGTGATTGGACTTGCAAATGGCAGATGGACAAAAACTAACTATAATTCATCTACTTCATTGGTTAGTATTAACAATTTTCATTACTCCACACTTGATTATCGGGAGACAATCTTTTCATCTATTTTAGCTTTTCATGTTCTTAAGTGTTTTATAGTGTACTCTTTTTAGCTTCAATATTTTATTCTAAAAAATATATGTGGTATATGTGACTTTATGAAAGGTAAAAGATATTCTTATATTCATTCTCATAGATTTTTAGATTTCTCCTGGTGGAGGATAGAAGTCAACATGAAACTGGCAGTCAATTTTTATGTCTTGTAATGAAAAGATGATTTACTAACGTTTATGTGTTCTTAGAGTGAAGCCTCTAAATGATTATTTCTGTTTTTTTTAAATCTATTTGTTTGTCATTTGCAGCTAGCTTCCATCTTTAGACATCCATTGAAATTTACTTTATTTGAAGATGGCGATGGCGCAAATACATTTCGCACTTTTAACCACACTCAATTTAAAGTCTAATGTCTAATGATCTGCGGTGGTCATTGCATTATATGTCCACTAATAGGGAGGACCTACCATTATGTGATCCTTTGCCGGAAGCCCGGAAGTAGAGCACTGCTCAAAGTCTATTAGTTAAATGGTCTCTTTCTCATGTATTTTTCGGTTTGCTACTATTAGTTTGGTGACAATGTTATAAGAGTTTATTATGATATTAGAATATGTATATTGTTTTACGCTACATCCTATTAGAATTCAATGATTTGCACTTCATATTAATGTTATTATGATCATTTAACGCTAAAAATAGTGATATATAACGAATATTCCGTGGAGGTTTGAGGGTGAGATGTTCCTCTGTAAATCGAGCTGAATGAGTTCATCTCATCTTCTTAAGAACAAGTAGCTGGAAGGTTAGCACAGAAAAATCCTACGAAGAACTAAAAAAACACAAACAAAAACTAACTAAAAAAATCTCGCTGAAATTAATTAACCCTTAAAACCGACACTGTCCTCGGCAACGGCGCCAAAAACTGATGTGTGTTTTCTCGCACTTAAAATAGATTGTAATATAGTGGTGTAAGTACGAGTATCGTCTCCACATGGACAGACAAAAGGGAATCAAAGATTAACTAAATTTAGCGATTAAAAAGAAATAAAAAAATGTGTCGTGCGAGATTGGTTGCTGGAAAATAAAAATGCGAATAAAATGATTAAAATAAATGGGTTCTCTCTAATTAATGACGAAGAGAACATGGATTGATTCCGGGGTAACCAGATTTCTGGCTGATCAGGCCTAATTACATGAAATTAATTTAATTGAGCCTAGCTAATCATTACTAAGTTCTTACCGCTCTCGCGGCGTAGAGTACAATAAATTAGGGGACCAGGTTGATCTCTCATGCGACAGGATCCTAAATTATTGCCAAGACGAGCGAGCTTACGGCCCCTTAATCGCTACTAATCTTTTAGCGAATGATTAAGTGTGTGTGAATGTGTCCTAGAATAAATTAGATCTCTCTTAATTTATTCTACAAGCAATTGTAATTCTAGCCGCGGTTCCAGGTTACAAAAGATATCAATTAAATTATTAAACACAAATTAAACGGCATTCATGCAATTAACCCATCAAGAATCGAGCCATACATCATGATCAACCCCTTCACCAATCCCAAATCCCTAATTAAAACTACCCACAATTCATAATTGAACAATCAATAGAATTAATTGTCATTAATTAAAAAGATGGAACTTACAAAGAATACCAAAATATTGATGAACAAGGCTGAAAAGCCCTCTAAATTTCGTGCTAGGCACTCTCTCTAAGCCCCCCTGAAAACGGGGGTTTACAGGCTGTTTAAATAGAAAAAAACGGGTGAAATTTGAGCTGAATTGGGATTTCTGGAGGCAGGCACGGTGCCAGGCACGATCGTGCCTTCGATCATGCCTCCGAAGCAAAAACGCGCGTTTTGGGCAGGCACGATCGTGTCTCCCTCCAGGCACGATCATGCCTGGCTGGCAGTAACTCCGCGGTTCTTTCTCTTCACGCACGATCGTGCCTGACTTTGAGGGCACAATCGTTCCTATGTAACTTCCGAATTTGGCAATGATTTCTTCATTAAAGTTGTAGATAATGAAGTCCTCTATCTACCACAATTTGTCTAATGTGATTTGAAGCATCCAATCAAGAGATATGATCAAAACGGTGGAAGGTATCACTCTGAAATTGCAGCAGAGATCATCTGACTTCATTGTCTGTTTTCACCTTCTTTCCCTCATATTCTCTCAAAGGTGTCTTCATATGATTTGTAGAACTTGAAGTTAGCTTTCACATGGACTTTGAATCGTGTTCTTTAGATGTTTCTACAAGGATATATGCTTGAACGATTGACAGAAGGTCATCCTGATCGCCGTTTTCAAGCTCTTTTCGCCTTCTTTTGATCTCGTAGCCAATCCTAGAGTTCTTTTGTCATCAAATCTTCATCGTAAACCTTCCGCTGACTTCCAAATCTCTCAATCCACTCTCGAATGCATCTCGAATCATCCCGATTGCTCCTCAAGCACCAGTGCCAAACTCTAAATTCCTGATTTTGACTCCAAATGACACAAAACTCGAACCAACGCCTAGTAAACATAACTTGAGCTAAAATTGAGACTTGTAACACCTTAAAGCTAGGAAAAACATCAAAAGCCGATCCCAACACGCATCAAATGCGTGTCTTAATACGGACTTATCAGACCCTAACACGCAGGTATGGCTCTACTTTTTCTTTTTTATGATAATCATCATATTTAACAAATTCTCCTAAAAAACTCCCAACGCGTCTAGCAGTGCCCATATTTACCAAACTAAAAAGAACATTATGAACCTGGATCCAAAATTTAGCCTCATTCAAAATAATTTTGTGTGGTATATCATCAGGCATAATTTCTTTAAGCAAAACCAAGTTACGTTCATACTGCCAAGGGCCTCCTTCCAGAACACGCTTCATGTCAAAATGATGGTTAAAGGAAAAAAGATACCTCTTTTCCCCAATTTCTTTAACTGACATACCTTTTCCTGGCCTCCATAGCGCAAGCATCTGCTCTTTCAGCTCCGAGAACCGGACTTTGCGATTTGTCAGAACATGCCCGATCACGAGGAAACCCGTTGCCGCCTCCTCTGCCGAAACATCTTCAAGCTCCTTGTCGTCAAGGTTTATCTCTGCCTCGTCATCCCCGATTTCCATCTGCTTATAACGGTCTACAACACTCTCCATGAACAGGAACTTTTCGCCGGAAAATTTACAGCCGGCGACTCTCTACCTTAATCCTGCCTGCCCAAGACCCCTGCTTAAAAAGCCCAGACCGCCGCCCTAACACCCACTCCAAACTCTCCCCTCGTCAACCCTGCAACCCACCACCCCTCTAACCAATAAATGCGCTCCTCGTAAAGGCAAAGGTGGACAATCCGATGCTAAGGGTTAGCAGCTGCTAACCCTAGAGAAAGAAAATTCTTCTGAACTAATGTCACATACTAATAATTAGATAACTTTTAATTGGTATTTATTCTTGAAAAAAGGAGGGACATTATATATATTATAAGTAGTAGTACTAAAAACAG